CCCGCCCCAGGAAATGGGGCTTTGGGGGGTCACCGCCCCCAGGAATGCAGCTATGTGGGGCCCCGCCCCCGGGCGCCCGGCGGGCGAACGGCCACGCCCCCTGGCGCCCGGCAACCCCAAATGGTTGGGGACCACTGTTATAGACTAACCGAAGTGTTGGAGCATAAGCTTTCATGGGCAAAGAACCACTTCGTCAGATGCATGGAAATTTCCAGAGGCAGGTATAAATTGTTCAAATGGGGTTCTCTGTTATTAATACATACAATAAAAAAACTGTAAAATCTGAATCCATATCCTATTTTGGAAACACGGAGATCATCATTGGAGTCTCTTTTTCCTTCCCACCATAAACTTCCTTTACTATTCAGCTTTAAAGGAAATCTGTTTTCTCCTTAAATTGAGCAGTCTGCATACACCTAAGCTCTTATTTTCTAATGTATTTCTCTTTAAATTCATATGTTTCATTGTATGTCCATGTATATTTTTTTCTCTTCATGTATTTCATAAACATTTGCTTCCCTCATTAAAATAGGTAGTTCCATTCCTTTAATCTTAAGTGAACAATATTATCCGTCATGGGAACAATCAGTTTCATTAATTTTTATGATACTTTGTTATAACGCAACAAATCCCAGTGCTTTCCAGGTGGCATTATACTGAAAGCTTTGGCAATTGCATCTGCAGGGAGGTGCCATTAGGTTTTTGTCTTTCGTGCATGTCTAATTTTTTTCTATTTTTATTACTTCCAGAGATCTTCTAAAATGCACCAGCGATTTTTCTGTTTGGGAAGTATAGAAAGTTTTATAGCACTTTGTAAATATATTATTAATGAGCTTTACTTTGGGATGTGCTTGGCTGGCTATTAATAGCTCTGATGGCTTCATTTTGTTTTGTGATTCTCAGTGTGAATGCTATACAGTGATTTCTTTCATACCCTTTCTTATAACAATTTTGGTTCACTTTTGTTCCTTCTTTTGAAGGGGGCTTTGGCATTTCATCTGTCTTTCACTGAGATTAATTCTTTTCCACTGTGTTGTGGATACCCTGCAATTTCTTTGCCTGTTTAATTAAGTGATTCTATTCACAGCTCCTGGGTGTGTTGTTTGTGGGGTTTTATTTAATTTGAACAGTTCACTAAACTAATAAAATACTCTTTTCCTTAACCGTTCTCATTGTCATGGATTTCAAAGTGCGATAGTTTCTTTTATTACCAGTGAGAACATCAAGTCTTTAACTGTGGTGATATTTAATTGCCATTGTCCTTTTTGATGATGTGGGGAGGAGAGAATGTATCTACACTAGAGCACAATAAAACTGCATGGTTACTCCGATGTCTGAATTGGTAGTCCATAGAAAACAATTAATTCTTGAGTAAGAATTATGTAGTTTTGACCAGAATAAAATAATTGTTTTAGGAATAAATTTTAACTGATATACTACAAAGAAAGGTCTGTTCATTTTCAACATTTATGGGCACAACCAAGGTGTTTGAGATCACCTTATGTTCATCTTGGCTATTTGCGTTTTTGGAAAGGGCTGCATCACCTTATGTTCATCTTGGCTATTTGCGTTTATGGAAAGGTTATGGAGGGTTATGGAGATAGATAAGTTCTATCTGATCTAGACAGTGCTTGGTCCTGCCATGAAGGCAGGGGACTAGACTCAATGACACTTGAGGTCCCTTCGAGTTCTATGATTCTATGATAAGTTTTTCACTTCTCCGCGTGGTCATCCAGAGCACGTATAGTTAGTAGTATGAAAATAACTTTAATTAAAAAGGGTGTATTGCTTTTTCGCAGTATAAAAAGAGACATTTTAAACAAAAAAAGAAATAATTTGTTTTTCATTGAATTCCAGCACTACGTGAGTGATGTCCTCAGTGACATATTAATCTCTAGTTCCAGTGGGCCAGGAGTAGAGCAAGAGTAAATTACGAAAATGACACAGAGTCCAAAAGGGACACTGAATCATGTGGTTCACATAAGATTTGTCTGTTCACTTGAATAGCATGTAGAAATTATTTTTGCTAGTTACTTTCTGTTATTTGTTCTCTGGCTTGTGCCAAGGTTAGTTTTTTTTTTTATTAAAGTGAGTCAAGGAAAAGACACATTGTTTATTTTTCATTGTGTAATTTGTATACTAGGTTGAGCATCCTCAGAGGTCCAAAAAGGCAGTGTGGCACAAATTGCTATCCAAACAGAGAAAAAGAGCAGTCGTGGCCTGCTTTAGAATGGCTCCATTATATAATCTGCCAAGGTAAGAATGGTGTGGCAAGCATCCCAAGAAGGAAATACTCCTACCAATGTAGTTTTCTGTTTTTATCTCTGAAACAAAAATGCGCAATGATTTAGTACATTTTTGTAATATGTCTTTTGAGAAGAGCTGCTAAAAGTACTAAGTGAAAAAAGCTGACCATGGTATTTTCCCTTCTATGCATAAATTTTCTTTCCTGCATTTACATGCACACACAGTAATCTGGCTCATGGCCCAAACACCGAATTATGCATCCCAGAGATCAGTACAGCATCATGAGGGGAAATAAATCGCATCTTAGGCAATGAATCATCTTTAGGTCCACAGTAATTACAGGGCGCACACTCTCGACAGGAAGAGATCTGGGGTTATTCAAATAGTAATGTGTCCTAGTCTTGCCATATTTCCACTCGGGAAGATGTCTGCGTGTCTTCCCTCTGCATTCAGTCACTGTTCTCCCTTTTGGAACCAGAAGTACAGACTCTATGACCTGAGAAGTCTCAGTGGCTGTGAGAGAGGGGGCTGGATTTGCCTCTAGTTGACTTGCTGTTTGGCTCAGTCCTTGATTTAAAGTATTTCTAGATTCTGTGTTTTCATTGTACAGCATACTACCCTCTCCAAGATATCATTTGGCCTCTTGCTAAGAAAGATGAAGCAAACTAATGTAACCCCCACATCATCATTGAAAAGACTGTATTTTTCTCTTACTATTTTTAATTGCTTCAAAATGTACTTGAATGATTCTGATATGAGTTTGTGTAGATGTTTTCAATGCCGGACACTTTGAATAGTGGTCACGAGTGAAAATGGTAGGGAAGAGGTAATTAAACAAATGTGTGTTTTTGACAGATCATACCAGGAAATATTGCTCCCCTATGCAATTGGTTGTAATAGCTGTAAAATTTTCTGAATAAAATGAATTTATATTGTGTAGCCTTTCTTTTTATAGATGAATAGTTTTATTTTTAAATATTCTTTTTTTAGGCATCGAGCTGTCAATCTCTTTCTTCAAGGTTATGAAAAGTCTTGGATTGAAACAGAAGAGCATTACTTTGAAGATAAACTGATAGAAGATTTAGCAGTATGTTCTGGATGCTGGGATAATGGGATTGTAGAGTGTATTTATTGATAATCATATTTCATGGACAGACAGGAATTTAAGGAAAAAGAACAAAATATAAAACCAGGATATTAGTATTGGTCCCAACCAAACCTTTGCTGGTGTGGAGAAAATGCACTAGGGAGGTAGTGAGTGAGACCTACAGAAAAGGTCATGGTTCCTGCTCCAAACCTGTCAGATGCTGGGAGCCATGGGCTAAATAGGCTCTGTGTCCCCACTTCTGGGCCTCTTCCCACTCTGTAAGGTCTGGGTGAAAACCCACAGTCCTGTGTAGATGGCTTGGCCTCTCCTTTCACCTTGAGGACCCAATCCAGTGCACACATAAGTCAGGTGGAAGTATTAAGATTTTGTAAATGGTCCTCTTCATACAAAAAGGTAGGAGAGGAAAGCTGAGCAATTACCATTAAGAAACAAAATGTTTAATTTGATTTTTAAAATTTATGCTGAGATCAGATGTGAACTGTTTTGAAACAAACAAAGATTGAGACAAAAGAGGGAATACGATCAGTAAATTGACAAAATGTCAATGAGATTTCTACTAGTAGTAGGGAGGAGAATTGTTTCCTGCCTAAGTTGTAAAAAAATAGTTTTTTCTTGAAGTCATTTTTCTCTCATTCTCTTTTTGTACTAAGCACGCTAAATTACATTGTAAGTGTAAACTACAATTTTCCTGATTAGATTATAATTTGAATTTATTGGACTGTGATTATACCAACAAGAAAATATTTAACAATGCTCTTCCTTGTCTCCAATAATTCTTTACAACATGCTATTTAAAAACTTTCAATTCAAAATCTATCTTTCAGCAACTTTATCACAGCAAATTACATTTCTCCATTTTTTGTAATATAGTCAAAAGATAACATTCCTTATTCTCTGGATTCTAAAAATCCCACCTGCGAGCCAACGTTTTGCTGTTCAAATGTGATTATTCCAGTCTGACAGAGTTACCACAGCTATTGGACTCAAAAAGAACTCCAAACTTGATACATTGGTACAAAAACCAACGTTCCTATGTTTAATAAAATAACACATTATATATGCACCTGAATTCATACTTGATTTAATATGACTTCTGGCAATAAACTATGTTGGAAAACCTTTTCTAAGTGCAGTCATTTAACAGGAATGATACGGAATCAATTAATTTGAGTGTAAGTTAACTTACGTTGTGTGACACTTCAATATTTAGAAACACTGTATTTAAATATGTCTCCAATTAATTTTGTCATAGATTAATACAATCTAGGTTGGAAGAGACAATTGCAATAATCTAGTCTGACCTCTTGTATAACACAGGTCATAGAATTTTCCACAAATAATTGCTAGAACATTTTCTTTACTTACTTTTAAGGGTTTTTTTCAGGTAGTGAGTTTTACATTTAAATAAATATAAATAAAAATGAATTAATACATTGAAAAATAAGAATGCTCACATGCCATAATTACCAGAAAATTCACTTATTTTCATTGCCATACTACAATGTAGTAATGCAATGAATTCCTCTTAACACAGACATTGACAAACTTAATTCTCTTAAGTGATCTCAAGTGGTGCTTAAGCCTTTTGTTGAAATTCTGCATAAGTGAATATCTGCTTTAATTTGTAAGTATGGGAAAGACCCCATTTTATTTGAAAAATTAAAAATAAACAACTGATTCCTTGTGAGTTACTTTGAAATAGTTTATAATTACATTTACATTTCTTATATATTCTGTGTGTTCTGTGTGTACACTTTAAGACTGAAGACATTTTAAAACTTGACCAGTGTTTGTTTTAAAAATAAGAACAGTTACTGCTCCTTATTCCTCAGGTTAATTTGTGCTTCAGTCAGAAGGAGAGGAATACAAATTCATCTAAGGAATAAGGATTTGGAACCATTAGGAAACAGATAGAGAAGAGAGAATATCACAATCGTATGATATGATATGACATGTATAAAATTCCATGCCTTGAATACTGTGTGCCATTCTGATTGTCCCAACTGAGAAAAGATATCAGAATTGGAAAAGGCATAGAGAAGGACAATTACAAATGTTTAAGGATATGATACTGCTTCTGAAAAAGGAGAGAGTAAACAGATTGGGACTTTTCAACTTGGAAAAGAGACACAACCGGGGAGAGGGGATGACAGAAATTTGCCAAATCATGGCTGGTGAAAAAAGAAAGTGACTAAGAAAGTGTTATGTACTCCTTCACATAAGACCAGAACCAGGCATACCCAAATGAAATTTAAAATAAGCAAAAAGAAGCACTTTTTCACACAGTGTATAGTAAATTTGTGGAACTCATTATTAGGGGATTTAGTGAAAGTCAAAAGTATAATGGGATTCAAAATTTATATAAATTCTTATAAATCTCAGAAGTTTAATTATTAGCAGATACCTTCAATAAGGAAGACCAAATTAAGGGAATTGTGCAAATGTTCATATAGAATTAAAGATGTTTTAATTGAATTTGCTGTATTTTGCCCCCATATGCTACTTAGCTCTCTTTGTCTTCAATGGGAGTTGCACATTTATATCTCAGAGTACAATGCAGTGTATTTTCCATGAGGGTTTCTTTTAAAGTATGGATTCCCAAAACTCTTTCATAATGTACAACACTTATTAACAGAGAGCCAACCTTCTGAACAGCTGCTTTCCTTGTCATCATGTGGCCGACCTCCTCCTAGTGTGATCAAATAACATGCCTGTGGCAACAATTGTTGGCATGGAATATTAATCTCAGCAAATGCATTGGATGTATTTTTATCTGTATTTTAGTGTGTTTGAGTAGTTGGAAACAAGGAGAAGCCAGCACATTGTGCTTAGGATGTTCTTCTTGAACCATCACCAAGTGTTCTTTGGAACACTGTTGGTCAACATAGAACAGCTTTTGGAGATCCCAGGCGCAGACTGAAACCATCTGAAGTACTAAGGCCAGGTTAAATATAATGCTTTGACGATGCTGTCAAATTCACATCTTCAGAGGCTGTGCTGTTCACTGCCTCTTTAGTAGTAATTGTAAAAAGACAAGTCAGTCCCAGCTAGAAGAGACTGGAGAAAAAATGACTCACCAGGCAACGATCCTCATTTCTAAGCTTGGAAAAAGCGTGGGCCTATTCAGAGCTCTAAAGTGAGAAGAAGAAAAAAATCTACATTAGCGATAAAAATGTGGAGTATTCAAAGGATCCACCTTTGCCAACTTTAATGCTGTTATTGGTAGACGTGAAATCCCCCTTTTTAAAATGATGGGGATGGCTGCAAGCTTGGGTTATAGTCCCTTCTCCTTACACAATTCATCAGTTTCTCCAGAGAGCAAGAAGCAGCATGGTTGGCAAGTCACCATAATCATCATAAAGTAGTAGGAACTGGGTAGCATTCTTCACTGTGCTGAGACAGGCTGTTACAGTGAGGAAGGAGCAGAGAGTGAGTACCTTTTCGACCTTAAGCCTGTACTGTGCTCATACCATCCCTTCCCCCAACTTAATCTTCAGCACAACAGTGATAGGATTTGTGGTGGTACTCCTGGAAAATGGGGTAGATTTTATGAGGAATGGGGCAATCCAGGGTTGTGCACATTCATCATCCTAAATCTGTAAACTTTCATGGTTTGAGTGTGATCGGGATTCTAGCTTACTTGTTCCCAAAAGGTACTGTGTAGAGTTGGCCTTGGAATTTCCAGCCATCTACGACGGGTTCAGTACCTACCATTCATACGTTCAGAGAGCCCAAGTGATATTTATTATGATAATATATCTACTAAGGCTTTTTCAGTCTAAGAAATTTCACAACAGATAAATTAGAATGCATATGACTTTTTTCTATTCCCATTTTCTTTCCCCACAGAAACCTGGAGAGGAGCCACCAGAGGAGGATGAAGGCATTAAAAGAGTTGATCCACTACACCAGCTTATCCTGCTTTTCAGTCGAACAGCCTTAACGGAAAAATGGTACGGCTGGCATAGGAGCTGTAAACATTTCTGCAAAATTTCTATCTGCTTCCATTTCCAATTGCATCTGTTTGCCCTGCAGTGTCACATATGCAAACAGTGTAGCTAAGCAAACGCTAACAGATTTGCACGTGTTTGCACATGTGGGGCCTGATTCTTAATGACATTGCCATGGTGGCAAAGAGAGGCCTTAGCATAATTGAGAAGCAAGCACATGGAATTTTCTGCAAACAAATGAATGTCTCCAAACTTTTATGTCACGTTTATGGTTGCTGTTGAAAATCCATCTTGGGGTGTACTCAGTCATGTCTGTAGTCCACATTGAAAGTTACGCCCACACCTTACCAGTTAAGTTATCTGAAAATGCTAGATTTACCATGCGGATAGCAGTAACTCCTAACAATCTGATAACTAAAAAAGGTTATAAAAAAAACTAATATCAGTTTGTTCAGTACTATATGTGCAGTCAATTTCACTGTTCAACTTGTATTAGTTTATTAGTTTTTTCCCTTCCGGAAAAGACCTTTGTAGGGGAATAGAAATACCCTTATAAGTGTGAAAGGGACTTAAAACCAAAAATTCAGGACATGCTATTTAAAATATGTGCTGGTATAAAGTAGAATTATAAAATTGTTCAATTTTTCCTGTTGTCCCCTGAATATTTGAGGGTTTCAATTGTTTATGGAGTTGCTGTATTACGTTAATGATCACAGTGTATGTCTGCTTTTTTACTACCCATCTATTCCCTAGCAAACTGGAAGAAGATTTCCTGTATATGGCATATGCTGACATTATGGCAAAGGTAACTTCCCCCCATCTTTTCAATTAACTTATTAATGACATTAATGACTGAATGTAAGGGAGATTGAGAGAATTTTAGTGTATATCAGGCTGGAGACAAATGATTTTTAAGCAAACTTTATTTGTGAATGTTTTGTTTTTACATGGTCTCAGAGCTGTCATGATGAAGAGGATGATGATGGTGAAGAAGAAGTGAAGAGTTTTGAAGTAAGTTTGAAGTCCTCTTTTTGTTTCTTGTTTCACATTAGACATTATTTCATAGCATCTAACTAACGTTTATTTTCCTTGCTTCATGGCTTCCTGCAGCTTTTTATGTAAATGAATGGCAAGTCAGAAGCTTGAGAAATAAGTGTCATCAGATTAATAGTAGTAAAACAGAAAGAGAAAAGATAATGTTACATAATTATACATACACATGCACACTTTACATTCTATGTATAAAACTGAGTGAACCTTATGAGTTAGTTTGAACAAACTTGTAACAACTCTGTTACTGTCTTGAACCACAAATCATTCTGAAAATCTGATGAGAACAATCTGACAAGATTGCCAATTGTGACTGAGTTTGAATGGGTAAGAGATATTAGAAAAGTAGAATTTATTGTGCTAATAGTATTGTGTACCTGGTAACAGTAATTCATAAATTATTTCCATTTCCATTTATGAAGTATTGACTATTAAGAAAATGTCAATAATTATCCACAGTTAGCACAAATTATTTCCAATATTTTTGATAGGAAAGTAACTCAGACACTACATTATATTTACTGTAGATTAATATTCAGACACTACACTATATTTACTGTAGATTAATGTTACCTTTTCATAGTAATCACTACATGAGAGTACACATGGTCTTATGACTATGCAAAACAAGAGATTTGCATATGTTTGATCAATCAGTTATCTGAAAATATTTCTGGATACTTTTTCTTATTGCTATTTCACTTCTTGTCCTCACCCTTCCTAAAGGTCACAGGATCTCAACGCAGCAAGGTAAAAAAAAAAATGTGTGTATTTGTCTGGGTCTAATTTCATGACTTTTAGCTTTGTTAGATCCCACATCTTGGATAAGTTCATATAAAGGGTCTTTAAAATATTTCTAACTATTTTCAGATTTCGCATAATGGATCTTCGCAGTGCTCTTCATCTGTACAAAAATATATTCTTCTTTAAACTCCAAGGATTAATAACATGAAACTTTTTGACATTATTAAATACAAAAACATTTTCCCTTGTACGGAAAATGGAATAACCTTTGCCTTTTAAGATAATCTGAAACAAATAAAAAAATCTTGCCAATGATACTTTTAAAAAATTGATTGCTGTACATAATTTCCAATTGTCACTATTTAATTTTTATAGTTGCAACAGTTCTTCTTCAGATTGGAAGTGAATACAGTCATACTTTTGCTTTCTTTTAACAAACCACCTTTGAGTGGCACTATATTAATAATCCAAGAACATTCTGGTGATTCATCCAACAAAGTTATAGTTTCAGTGTTCTTCATGGCATAATATCAAGTGTCTTACTGTTTTTGAAATTTAAATTCGTCGGGCTATTTTGGCAGTCCTTCTGAACTCCTCCACTAATTGAAAGACCTAAATATAGAATTGTAGATTAAGTGACTATTGGTCATTTAATCTAAAATATTTGTAACATGTTCAATGAAAATGGCCATCATTATCTTCAGTCTTCATTATGAAATGCCAGGTAGCAACTCCTTTGTTAGGATTGCAAACTTAAATGGTCTTAAAATTGGGGGATTTATGGCTTTTTGAGAAAAACAGGAGGTAGACAGGTGGTGCGAAACTTTACACAGAGTTAGTTTTTATACCTATTATATATCCTATAAAAGCTTTGTATGGTTTCCCTTCATACATTTGTAATAGAAGCCTTTGAATTTCACATCCAGATGAAGTTTTTGCTAGACACTCTTACTTAATTTTTTCTCTTTGCTGTTTTTCTCTAAGATCACTAACTGCCCAGTTACAAAGATATGTATATAATCCTGTGAAGTCCTTGGTTCTATTTAATAAAAAGTGTTTCCAATCAAAATGCCTCACTTGGCTGAATACAAACTGATCTTCACCAAGTATGTTATATACTAGGCTCAAAAGCAGGATGAAAACCACTGTTCCTCTTTGTAAAATAAATCAGTTTAATATGGGGTGAGGAGAAAAGGAAAGAAGAGTAACAGATGGCACCATTTGGCTATTAACATATTTATTGATTTTTACAGTGTGCAAATCACCAAGCGGCAGGACATGTATACTGAAACTTATATTGTTTAATACCTGATCATTCAATTAGACCCTCATCTTAGGATCCAGTTCTTTAGAGTTAATCAGTATTGTGGTCTTAGGAGTAGCTTAAGTAAACAGAGTTCTGAAAGTGAAGTCAAGTTCTGTCTTCCCCCAGTCTAGATGAGCCCCAAGTGAGAACCATTTCTTAGAGAAATGTTAACAATTTAAATCAGTATTTCTTATTAGCTTTCACCATTTCTGCGGGACGTGAATCCCATTCTGAAATTGCTCCTCCATCTCTTCCAAAACACAGTGGGCAAAAAGCATCCTTGGATGATGTGAGAGCACATTTTGTCCCCCTGCTCCAGAGGTACAGGTGAAAGTGCCTTAAAGGGCATTGGAGAATTTTCTGATAGCTTTTCCTAACACAGTGGCTGCTCTGATTCAATGGCAAGGTACATATTAGTCTCTAGAACAGCTCAGGATTAGAGGCACAATGGTTGTGTTTTCGATACCTAACACAGAACTGCCTTCCCCTATTTTTAAAAAAAAGGGTGAAAAACAAAATTGTGTTTTACCTATTTAATAGCACCAAATTTCCAAAAAATAATCTCTAAAACTTAACCTGCAGAAATCTGGATGTATCTGTTTAAGAGCAAAATGTGCATTTGCATGTTCAAACAGGATGGTTAACTGCTCGGTTACCCTGTTTGTGTGTGCAAATACTGTTTTCTTGCGTTGTTGCAGGCACAATTTCAGAGGACACTTTGATGAACATTTGGTCCTTAGTTGGTAAGTTGAAGATTTTTGAGCAGCCTATTAGAGACCTGCATTACAAAACAACATTTGCTTGGCTCTTTTGAAGAATTTTTAATGTATAGTTTAAAAGAGCAAAATAAACACAAAAATGATTCAAATTGTTTCTGACAGTTAATAGAATTTAGATGATTTCTGGCTCACAGAGCAAGATGCAGAAATCTTGCCTGTTCAAGTCGGTATAATGGTGGGGAACTAAAAACCAAATTTGCCTTCCCATATTGCATGATGAACTTCTATCATGACCCCAGTATGCATATCTGGAGGAAAATTTATGTCTCTTGATTATTTTGATAGCTGAAGGAGACATCCTGAGATTTGCTTGTATGGCATGTTTTAAATGATCTCTCCCAAATTTATTTTATGTAACTAAGGTTCGTTCCATTGAAATGATCCAGACATTTAATTTTATTTCTTGCCAGAAGCTTTGTATATAGAAAATAAAAGCACTTAGACATACCACATGCCCAGATGTCACTTTTATTATACATTCAATTTTATTTTTCTAAAATCTCTCATTTTGGTTCAGTGATTTCTTCATCAAATGTACACACATTCTAGACATAGCTCTGTTTCAGATAGTCTCTACATACTTTATAAAATCAAATCCCAAGGAATTGACTTTATCAACAAAGAAACTAATATTGACATTACACAAATTCTAGCCTAAGAGTTCATCCTGTATATAGCTGTTTCAAGAGTTTCTCCTGATGGACCTCTCTATGCAAGATTCTGGAGTTAACTGGATCTGTGAAAGGAATCAGTGTTTTCTTGAAGAAAATATAGTTGGCAAATATGTAATTTCTTGCAAGAGAGTTGATTTTCTGAGCAAAATTGTGTTCACTGACAGGAATGGTGAAATATCACCCAAGAAAATCTGTATAAATGTAGAGCCCCAAATTTGCTACTAAATATTTATATCTCCCATTACGATCAAAGGGAGAATGCAGTATTTGGCATTCTGAGTATGCATGCTAACATTTTGAAGTGAAAAATTGGTGTTTGTTGCATTCCTTTATGCACAGCTTAAGTGCATAAAGCTGTAAGTTGTTCTAAACAAAGTACCCCATGTTGTACACTGGCATTTTGAAAAAAACAACAACCCAACTTCTGACATTGTGCCTGTATAACAAATACAAGATCAGGAAAAGATATGTTACTTGTCTGAAAAGACCAGTAGTTTTTCTCTGTCATAGATCATTTCCCCCAACTCTAGCCACATTCTTGAATAATGGGGGGAGGGAGAGATTATTGGAAGAAGAGATCCTTTTATCGTAGGCTAGGGAGCACAAGTAGAGCTACTCCGAAGGTGGTGTTGGGCCTATTATTGATCTTTGTCTGCTGCACAGGGAACATTAGCTAGTGAATGTGCCAAATTCACTAGTTGTGCGTACGTCATGTCAGAGGCTTTGTCTAGACTATATGGCTCTGTCGACAGAGCCATGTAAACTAGTTTACCCGGCATAGGCAAAGAAGCGGGAATTTAAATAATCCCCGCTTCATTAAAATAAACATGGCCATCGTGCTGTGTCGACGATCAGCTGATTCAGCACAGCGTGGCGGTCTAGTGGCAGATCTGTCAGCTGGGGAAGCCTTTGCCGACCGATCCTTTATGCCTCTTGAAACGAGGTTTTAAGGCTTCTTTGCCTATGCCAGGTAAACTAGTTTACATGGCTCTGTCAATGGAGCCATGTAGTCTAGATATACCCAAAGGGTGTGGGACCGGGAGTAATCCTCTGAAGCTGGGCTGCATGGGTGGGTCAAACCTTCTGTATGAGTTCTCAAAGCCTATACACTTCTCCTGCTACAGCACAAAGGAACCAAACTGGTTCTGGCTAGGCCTACATAGTCAAAGAGAAGAGGGGAAAATGCCTCTCTGATACAGACATGACTCTATAATCCAGTTTGTTTGCATCAATGTGAGATGGGTAACTTTCTTATCTGTCTCCTGGTTATTTTTAAGAGTATGGGTGGAACCTTTCTAGTCCAGAACCCTCAGGACCTGACTAGTGTTCAACCAGAGAATTTGCCAAACCACAGGGGATCAATAATGTCTAGCTGCATTACCAACACTTCCACTGCTTACTGGGCTCTTAGAAGACATTTGGGGTAAATTAGAGCTAAATAACAGAACAGAACACTGAGAGCCAGGACTGGTGGCTGTAAACAAACTTTATGGGACCATAGGAGACTTGGCCACCCCCATGATAAGTGGACATCCTGCTAACTAAAATCATGCTGGCCCATGAAAGTTGCTGGACTTGAGAGGTTCAACCTGCAGTTATGTGATTGTTACTGAGCATATCCAAATATGCAGAGTGTTTCAGTTCCCCCAGCTGGGAAGGAGAGATTGAGGTAACATTTCAAATTATTGTAGACTCAACTCTGCTAAACAGGTTCTCATCTTGAATTGTAAAAATGTTTGTAAAAATCTTCGGACTGTTTTAATAATAGTTCTGCAAAAAACATAATTTGCAACTAATTGAAAGATAATGAGAAGTCCTGTGGCAGATGGGGGTATGACTACACTATACTCCAAAATAGCTTCTTTCAAAATAGTGCGTCTACACTAATGGGAAGCCTCGAAATTAGTCCGAGGCAGGCTCCCCTAATGTGGATGTGCTACCTTGATTTAGAGCCCCAAGAAGCACTAGGGAATGGGTTCCCAAACTGGGGGGCGTGTCATCCTGGGGGAGGGCATGAACAAATTCCAGGCTCTTACCCCCCATCAATTCTCCCTCCCCCCCCCCATAAGTTTTGCTGCTACTTTTTTTTGTTGTTTTGTTTTTCGGCCCTGGTCAGTTACTTTTTTTTTTTTTTTTTTGCTCAACAGGTTTCGCTGTTATTGGGTGTGTGTGCGTGAGGGTTTCTCAAAAATCAAAAAGGGGGCACGATGCCGAAAAGTTTGGGAACCATTGCATGACTAGGGAATA